TTTTGGAAAACTCGCACGACTGAATGGTCGATATGGGGAAAGTTATGTCATATTTTATTCTTGAAAAATATAATGCTTATAAAAAACATTATGCTTATTATTATTATTCAAGTAACATGGTAAAAACCAAGAACAAACATGTTGTGTGTGCTTTCTCGCAGGTAAAAACTGTGCATCGGACTGTGACGGTCATTGTTGGGGTTCTAAAAACTGTCAAGAGCGTAAGTACATTCTCTGAAAAAACTGCTAAATTATCCATGGCAATAGGGTGTTCGAGATATTTGCAGTTGCATGGCTGTCGTCTATATTCCCTCCCATATGCATTTCAGGTCATCCTAGGCTTGAATCAACTCAGGCAAAATAATCTCGAAACCACTAATGTAAAATATTTAAGTATTTTACAGCGATATTGCGTTACGTTAGAATAAGACGCGTTGAAACTCGTATGGTGTATATAATACATTCACGTTGAAATGGTTTGCAACATTAAATACACATTTTACCCGGCTCTTGTTAGGTACATGCTAAAGTAAACTGTCGTTGTTCTTAATTTTGTTTAGTGACCAAAACAATTTGTCACGCAAAGTGCAAATATCGTTGCAAATCAAGTCGTAAACGTGATTGTTGTCATAGCAGCTGTAGTGCTGGATGTACAGGACCGAGCAGCCAAGATTGTATGGTAATTATATATTATTACTTATTTATACTATGGTATTTTCGCATGACTGTTCCTGTGAGGTCGTGCACATGGAAGAAACATTACTCATGTGGTATCACACGTCAGGCGGTTACATTGTTACATGTGATTTTGATTATTTAAGTATGGGGGTTTCACCTTCTCCTAGATATTGTACGGAGTGTCACTTTGATAGTGGATGTTGTATGGGTGTCACTTTGATCCTGGATGTTATACGGGTGTCACTTTGATCCTGGATGTTGTACAGGTGTCACTTTGATGCTCAACGTCAGAGACAAAATGAGGTGAACCCATCGAATCGGTATCCAACTCGTCATCACTGTAATGTTCTGACCTGAGATACTGGTGATTTTTCCCATCAATCGTTCTTTTTTCCTTTTCATTATCCTATTTTATTGTTTTCACCATGTATATTTCATATATTATAGGCGTGTCGTGAATTCGAGCACGAAGGGAAATGCGTTGAATACTGTCCCCCGACGTACGTGTACGACCCACAGTTCCAGGGTTCTTGCCTTGATGCGTGCCCAGGTGTGTAGTTTAACACACTCCTTGGTGAAATATATTATTACTGGTGTGTTCATATCTCGTAGTTGTTTTCTAAAAAATAAACACTTATATATTGATATTCATACAAATATTCGTTCACCATTAAGTCACCTCTGTATTCTATCTGAAGCTCACCTGGTAGAAAATGATCGACATTGTGTACAAACCTGTCCAGATGGGAAGATTACTGTAAAGGGAAAATGTCATGATTGTGAGGGCGTGTGTCCTAAGGGTATGTAATGACATCGTCATCAATTTTCAACAAATCTAGATTTGAAAGTTTTTTGTAAATGTTCTTCAGAATAAAAAAAAGATGTTTGTGTCTTATGTTCTCTATCATTGTTAACCATTTGAAAGTATACTATTCGCTTACAGTTTGTCCGGGGATCGGCAATCCAGAGTTTGGTGCGTTTGAATACGTGGATGAACGCAATATACATGCATTTCAGAACTGTACAATAATTGAAGGAAATGTCATCATCTTACCAAGTACATTCAACGGGTAAGTGAATATCATGATCATGAACAAATTGTCGATTCGAAAATGTAGTTTAATCGCTTGTTTATTAACTGATTCATGTGTTGATTGTTACCCAATGCGATATATTTTCAGAGATCCGTTTTTAGGAGTAGTTGGAATATCATCGCAAGCTTTGGAAGTTTTCAGCAGTGTGCAGGAAATCACTGGACATCTGGCTTTACTCCATTCCAGTCCTGAAATGAAAGATTTTTCAGTATTTGGAAATCTCCAAATAATTCGAGGACAAGATCTGTACAAGTAAGTTAAACTCTTGCAATCGTCTTGGTATTTCGGAGTAATAAACGTTCGATTCTTTAGGTAAATACTCATGTTTAGGTGTACAAAAGTGAGACAAGTTTTTAAAGGAAGCGTAAAGACGTA